AATAAATAAATAAATAAATAAATAAATAAATAAATAAATAAATAAATAAATAATAAATAAATAGTAAATAAAATCACCAGAGGATATTTTAATTTTAATCCTGGAAGTTGCCAAAACAGCATAATGGCAATACTTCATGTTTTCTTCCCTCTTCCTTCTCTTCTTCCTCTCCAACATCTTCTCTTGACTTTTGTCTGCCTTCTCTGCAGCTTCTCACTTTCCTTTGTTCACATCTGTATTTTATTAGTCAAAATGTGAGTTACACAGAGCTCCACCCTCTAGAAATTTTTGCCTGGTGTGTCTCCCTTGCTGATTCTATTCATTCCCACAAGCTTCATCTATAAATGTTCACTCTTATCTGTTTGAGCCAGATTACAGTTTTTGTATTTTCACAGGCACATTAAGTCCCAGAGTCAAAACAGCTCATGTGTCCTTACAAATCTTCTGCTCCCCCAGTGACCTGCACTTCAGAAACCAGGAACCTAGGTGTTAACCTTTACCCTCTTTTCTTTCTTTTTTTAAAAAATATTTTATTTATTATTTTTATATTTTATGTGTATGTTTATGTTTTATGTTTATGTGTATTGCCTGCATGTATGTGAGTGTATCCGTGTCATGCAATGCCGCAGAGGTCAGAAGAGGGCTTTGGATTACCCTGGAACTGGCTGGAGTTAAGGATGGTTCATAGCCACCATGTGGGTGCTGGGAATTGAACCCAGCTCCTCTGCAGGACCAGTCATTGCTCTTATCCACTGAGCCATCTCTCGAGCCCCTACCCTTCTTTTCTTAATACACCATATCTCCTAAACTGCCAAGTCCTGTGGATTCTGTATCTTGAGAGTTTTCAGAATCTTCCAACTTTCTTCCTATTCCCTCTTGGATAGTTTAGAATATAAAACTCTTTAACCTGAACTGTTATAATGACCTTCCTTTGTAACAAAACCTGACAAGTATTTCCATGGAGCTTGCATACTAATGAAAAAGGGACTAACTAAACACAAGCTATGATTATTTTATAATTCCTTTGTGAAGAGTAATGGTTTTGTTGCAGAGTAGAGAAAGGGGTAAATAGATGAAAATGCTAGGAGGGACGATATTTGAGCACATAACAGGCACTTATTGAATATTTATTGTCTAACAGACCATCATTCATACTGAGAAAGTAGAAACTCTGTTTTTCTCTGCTTTCTAGTAGACACATGTAAATAAGAATTTAGTCAGGATAATGGTTTATTTTTAACTCACATCATTTTTATTTTCTTAAGTATTTTAAATTTATTCTTTGAGAATTTTATACATGTATATAGTACTTTTTTTTATCATATTTGCCCCCATTGCCCTCTCTTATCCCCCTCCCATTCCCTGGGATCCCCTTCTTTTTCTCAACCAGTCCCTTCCTACATTCATGCCTTTTTTTTTTTTTTAACTTTTTAAATGACCCACTGAGTTTAATTAGGGTTGTTTGCGTAAACATGGATTTGGGGCTATTTACTGGAGCATGGGCAGCTTGCCACTGAAGAAAAATAAGCTCACCCTTACTAAACATCAAAGTGCCATACAGAAAGAGTGGAGAAGTCCTTCCCTTATTCTGAGAAAATTCCAATGCAGTTATGCACATAATTTTTTAATTTGTCATCCCTGCTATTCAGTGTAGATTATGAAGATCTCCAGGACCTTAGTATTCTTAAAAGAAGAATCTTGGTGTGTATCTGTCTTTATACAGTCTACTTGCATAATTTTGAAATTTTTCTTAGAAATTATTCGTCCCTACCTATTTCATTTACTTTAATGTTCATCTTTTACAAAGAGAAATGACTGTATGTTATATAAAAATAGTATCTAGAGCTGGGCATGGTGGCGCACGCCTGTAGTCCCAGCACTTGGGAGGCAGAGGCAGGTGGATCTCTGTGAGTTCAAGGCCAGCCTGGCCTACATAGTGAGTTCCAGGACAGCTCAGGCTACAGGGAGACCCTGTCTCAAAAAGACAAAAAAATAAAATAAAATAAAAATAGTATCTATATACGTTATGGATTTTTTTTCCTGTTGTATATGTAGTTCTGACTTGTATTTCAGTTAGAATCTACATGCTTAACTGTAACACCTCTTTTCCAAACTACACTTTCCTCATAACAATAGTTTAGAACTGTAGGCCTGGCCTCTAAGTCACTGAATTTTCCTCCTGAAAATTTAGAATTCCACAGGACAAATAACCATTT